GCTGCTGGTGTGTCTATGTTCTGTTTGTTGTTTAAGGGTTGATACACTGGTCAGTGGGTTTTACTGCGTTGTTTTGATTTATTGGTATGTGTGGCGTCTAGTGTGATGCACATACGGCCCACAGAGGAAGAGTCTCAATCCTGCTCACTGGAGGTGCTCTTGAAGCTTTGCATGTTTTTTCTGTTGCCCCTTGGAAGAGGGAGATCTTGGAGCCTGTGGCCTGAATTTCTGAAACTTTGATTCTTTTTAACTGAGGAGCTCTTAGGGCTTTGAAGTCAGTTCTGTGTTGGTATGTCCTTAAGGCGTGGCTGCAAGGAAGTGCAGTTAGAGTTTATGTGCTGATAAGAGGGCAGGTCTGCTTTTAAAGGAAGTCAGTCATTATCTGCTGGTGTTCCCAAGATGAGTAGGTATAGGTTTTTAGGTAACTTTTCTCAATGGTCTTAAGCCTGTTTGCATGCTCTCCATATACCTGCCTTTTCCAGCCTGTGTGTAGGATTCAGGATGTCTTCATCATGCTTATGGCATCTTCCTGCCAAGTCAGGGTGGCACCAGCAAGCTCCTGGTAATTGTGGAGGACTGCCTTCGTTTGCCCCGATGAAGGTTGACTCGGCCATTCATTTGCACGAGAGTGGGGAGAAAAGGTCCTCCATGGTGTGGTGATCCCCTGAATACTGAGTAACTGTAACAAAAGAGAGTTGGTTGACACTGAAATATTTTAGGAAATAACTTATGATCAAGAGCCAATGGTAGTGAAAGAAGTTGAATTTCACTGAAGGCACCAACAAAAAAGTAAGGTCCTAGGAGTTGATGGAATACCAGGTGGCATGTTTCAACTAAAAGATGCAACCTTGGATGTACTCATCTGCAAGGAAATTTGGAGAATAGCTGTCTAGCTGGCTGTTAGAACTATACATTGATAGAGTACTATCTGATGTTCACACTGGGTTTAGAAGAGGTCGTGGCACCTGGAATATCATTGCTAGTATCAGATGCATCCTCGTTGAAAGCAGAGAATACAAGAAGATTGTCTGTCTGTGTTTTATTGACTATGAAAAGGCATTTGACCACATGGATTTTAACAAATTTAGCTAACATTAAGACCTGAACACTTAATTGTGTTCTTACAAAGTATGCAGCTGGACCACAAAGCTGTTGCCCATGCCCACTCAAAGCAAGAGAACACTTAGTGGTTTAAAATTAGAAAGTTTGGTTGCCAGGGTTGTATCTTTTCTCTACATCTGTTCAGTCTTTGTATTGAGCACATCACTTGAGAAGCTGAACTCTGATAAAGAATGGTATTAGGACCATAGGAAAACTTATCAACAGCCTGTGTCATGTAGATGACATAGCCTTGCTCACTGACGGTGAGAAGAACTTGAAACACTTGCTACAGAAGATCAAAGACTATAGTGTCGTCAATACGAATTACATCTCAACATCAAAAAACCAAAAATGATCACCATTGGGACATCTTCAAATTGCTGAAGAGCATCGATGTCAGTTTGAAGACCCAGGTGTGCCTGATTCAGGATGCTTTCTCAATCACTTTCTATACATCTGAGAGCTGGGCAATAAATAAGGGTGACAAAAGAATTGATGCCTTTGAGTTGTTGTGCAGGAGAAGACTGAATATACCATGGGCTGCCAAAAGAACAAACAGGTTTTGGAAAAAGTACAACCAGCGTGCTCTTTGGAGACAAGGGTGGTGAAGGATGTATTGTTTTACATAATTTGGGCATGTTGCTAGGAGAGGCTGCTCCTTGGAGAAGGACATCATGCTTGGAAAGTGGAGGGATGATGAAGGAATGGAAAACCCTCAACCAGAAGGATTAATAAAGTGACTTCAGCTCTTGGCTTAAGTATGTCAGATTGATGAGGATGGCACAGCAGAGAGTCCCTATGAGTCATACTCAACTCGACAGCACCTAAAAATAGCACAGTGCTGCTGGAGACAGCAACTGGAAGTTGGCTGTTCTGACTAGGTTGCCATCCTACTGGAAGTCTCTATGGTAACATATCTTTCATAGATGATTTAGAGTCTTAATTGTAAGAGATTGGAACTCACTAGCCACTCAGTGGGAGAGAAGATTTGGGACTCTTCCTATGACTTATTGATAAGCACTGTCAAATCGAGTACAGCTCATAGAATAAACACTTTATCAATTACTTTTTCCTGTGTGTGTACTCAAACACTTGTGCTTTTTAATTGCCATCTAGTAGAGTATGATTCATAGTGGCCCTGTGAACAACAGATCTGAACCCTGGCCTATCCTGTGCCATCCTTATCTCTGATATACTTGATCTCGTTATTATTGCAGCCACTGTGTCAATCCATCCGGTTGAGGGTCTTTCTGCCTTTCACTGACCCTCTTCCACCATTCCAAGCTTGAATCCTTTTCTAAGAAATAGCCACTCCATGCAACATGCCCAAATTATATGAGGCAAAGCTTCACTATCATCCTTGTCTCGAATGAGCACTCTTGACTGCACTAGGAAATCTTTCAGGGCATTTCTCCTTGTCATTTATTTAAATTGATTAAGCATTAAGCAACAGCAACATAGTCACTCATTGCTTTTGAATTGGAAACCCAACTCCACCCACCCACTCACTCCCCCCATCCCTACATACCTGACCCTCTTTCTTTCACAGAGCAGATGATGAATTTGAACCTCCTGCTTATAGATTGGCAGTACAGATCCTTACCCACTAGTCCACCAGCAGTCCAAAGAGCATTGATAAGACACTGGTAACTAGGTACCAAACCAGAACTACACTAATTGCTATTGAATCAATTCTGACTTACAGTGACCCTCCATTGGCTTTCTTCGGGATTCATGGCTCTAACCTTTTGGCTAATTGTGTAACATGTAACATACAGTGCTACCAGAGCTCCTAACTATTTAATCACCTTTCCCAGTTGTACTTCTTACTCTGCATTCATTTGTGTATATATGTACATCCTTCTGTACAATTCCATCCCATGTACAGGTTGATGTCCTTACCACTACAATTAAGGCAAAAAATTGTTCCATCACCCATAAAGAACTGTACCCATCACCCACCCAGTCCATCTGCCCTCTGTTTTTCCTCTCTATGATTTTGTTATTTCTGGAAATTTGTGCAAATGTTTGTGAAATTTTCTTTTCTTTTTTTTGTCACTTTGCTTTTTTTAGTTCCTTTTTAAAAAAACTTTATTATTAATGTCAATGAAGATTTACAGAGACTTTGGGTTTCCATTCATTCACTATTGCACTTTTCTCCCCTCCCAACCCACCCCCCACTACCCTCTTGGAAAACTAAAAGAAAATTCTTTCATTGTTTTACAAACCCTCCCCCAGGTCCACTCCACCATGTAGCCATCGCTCTAGACTCCTGTCATGACAAAAATAACGAATCACATATCCCTTTTAAACAGTTTTCTCCCTCATCTGTTTCAATGAAGTATACATTATTGAACCCATCTTTCTCAGTCCTCCCCCACCCCCAAGGTCAGTCCTGTTTTACAACTGGTACCATGCAGTATTTGTCCTTTTGTGACTGAAATACTTCACTAAGCATAATGTCCTCCAGGGTCACCCATTTTGAATAATATTGCATGAGTTCCTTGTTTTTTAATGCAGCATAGTATTCCATTGTGCGAATATACCACAGCTTCTCTAGCCATTCGTTTGTGGATGGGCACTTAGGTTGTTTCCAACTCCTTGCTATTGTGAACAAAGCTGCAATAAACATGGGTGTGCATATATCTGCTTGGATGTCAGCTATGGTCTCTTCAGGGTATATTCCCAGTCGTGGAATTGCTGGGTCAAATGGTATCTCTATTTGCAACTTTTTGAGAAAGCGCCATACCGCCTTCCACAGTGGTTGCACCATTTTACACTCCCACCAACAGTGAATAAGGGTTCCAGTTTCTCCACAACCTCGCCAGCATTTGTTGCTTGTTGTTCTATTAAGTTTTGCTGTTCTTACTGGAGTGAAATGATATCTCATAGTTGTTTTGTGAATTTTTTGAGATTGGCTCTTTTGGCCTCAAGTACATACTCTTGGAATCTGTAAAGGCTATTAACAGGTATCAGTAATTCTTTCCATTTCTTGCTTAGTAGGATGGCACTGACCGGTCATTTGTCCTATTAACATAAGGTTGGTGTAAATTAGAGCTGACACCAACAGTAGTCATGTGCTAGATACAGATAGTAGGATGTGCTAGATTTGTGCAACCATTTCTGGTTCTCATCTTTGAAAAATTGATCCTTGTTGAAATAGAACCTAGAAGATAATCTGCTTTATTCATGGGGAGTTGTCTATTAATGAGTCAGTTCAGATGTATAGCATTCCTTATAGGACAAACCCTTGTCTGCCCAAGAATTCCTAGGCTGTAAGTTTTCTTGGAGATCACCAGGTCTTACTTCTCCAGAACTACTGGAGTGTCCAAACAACTATCCCTTCGATTAGCAGTCTAGCGCTTGATCACTGCATTCTAGTTCATTCTGATGACCTTCCATGGGCTTCTGAGGCTGTAAATCTTTGCCCTAGGAAATGGCCTCATCATTTTCCTTGTAGCATAGAGATGATAGATTCAAACCACTAACCTTTTAGTTAGCAGTGCTACAAAATACACTGCACCACATTTTAGAGGTAGTTTGCACCACTCATTTTTATCTCCCAGAAGACCTAAGAGGTAGTGCCATGTTTTTCTACTGAGTTTGCTAGACTTGACTATAGTGATTTTATATAAGACACATAACATTATATATGCTAATAATAATGTTGTCCAGTGCAGGGGTGGCCAAAACAGTGTGTGTTCCATCCTCAGAGATTAATGGTATAGCTGGCTTTCTTTTTACTTACGGTGATTTGTCATTTTTTAGTTAGTACATAATTTTTGCCATTTAACTGTTAGATCTTATGGATATTGGTCTGGTATATATCAGTATTATCATTTTATTAATCTCCAAAAACTTCTCTTTTTAATACCATTTTAAAAAATAAATTTTATTAGCTATTCCTTGAGCGAGAGCGAGCAGCCCAGTTGGCAGAAAGTAAAACAGATGAATTGATCAAAGATGCTCCCACCACTCAGCATGATAAGAGTGGAGAGTGGCAAGAAACAAGTGGAGAAATTCAGTGGGTATCAACTGAAAAGACAGATGGTACAGAGGATAAACAAAAGAAGGAGGACGACGATGAAGAACTTGACCTCAATAAAGGTATTTTGAGTGATACATACAAATTTAAAATAATGACTAGATTTTGTTTCCTATACCCCTGCTTTTATATCTTGTCATAATGATTTTTCTGTTATTTGTGCTTCTTCCCATTCAGTCCACAGAAGCTTTACTTCCATCAGTATTCTTATAGTTCTCTGATGACTGGCTTCACAGTGGCTATTCCAATGGCACGATTGCTGCTGTGGATTGGTGTGGCCATCCTTTTCATCAGACAGGTCTCTCTGGGCCTTTTCTTCCTCTTAACTCCTGTGCAGAGAGAAGCAGTTGACCTCTTATCTTTTCATATTTAAAATCTTGATTTGTTAGTGGGTTTTGGGGTTGTTTTTTTTTAATAGTTTCACTTTAAACCTATATCTGTGGTCATAAATTACAATAATAGTTTTCAAATGCTAAGTAGTAGGTAACAGAAAAAATGAGGAATACACTGAATTAGTCTTTTTTTTCTTTTTTTTTAATTAGTCTTTACTGATCAAACATTTAATAAGTATTATTTACCATTGCTATTTATTAGTTCATTTTGCTGAAGTTTGCAACTACTGTTGCTATCTCATCAATTTAAAACCCATTGACAGTGACCGCCTGTTCTCCCTCCTGGCAGCCACACTCATTTTTACTTTTTGTCTCTAAATCCATCTTGTTCTAGACATTTTATGTTAAGTGCAGCCATATAATATATGGCTTTTGGGCATTGATTTCTCTTAGATAATACAATGTTTTCATGATTCGTCCAAATGGGAGATGTATCACTACTTCATTCTCTTTTATGGCAGAATAACCTATAATATGGTTACACCAAATTTTCTTTGTTTAGCTTTAGTTTAATAAATGTTTGTTTTCATTTGTTGTCTGTTAAAATATTGCTGCTGTCACCATTTGTGCACAGGTTATTGTATGGACATAGGTTTTCATTTCTCTTGAATCTATAATTTGTGAATATTGCTGGTTTACATGATAAATCTCTGTTTGAATTTTGAGGACTTAACAACCTGTTTTCCAGAGTGGCTTCACCATTTTATGGTTCAGCAGCAGTATGTAAGGGATTCCAGTTTCTTCACATCCTTATAAACATGTTAGGATTTGTCTTTTTTTAGTTTTTGCATGTCATCCTTGCACAAGGGCCATGCTAAATCTCTGTATCGTTCTAATTTTAGTACACATATGCTGCCAAAGTGAGCTCCTTTTTTAAAATTTTATTTCTTTTTACAGTTTTTATTACTTTAACCATTGTTGTTGTTAAGTGTCCTCGAGTCGGAGGCACTCCTGCTTCCAAGCTTGTTTTTACCGGGGAGCTCCACCAAACACTATCCACCATGGGTAACTGTTCTCACACTTGACACATCAGCATCACAGTGTTCAGCTTCGCAGTAACCACAAGTTACCTCTGTACAGTGAGAACAAGCGTGGAAGCGGGCGTGGCATCCATTTGGTAATAGCTTGCCTCTGGAAACCATATGAACCTGGAGAAAGGATGAAAGTCATACAGGTATCCAGGGCTTTTGTTCATAGGGTCGCTATGAGTTGCCTCCAACTCGACAGCACTTACCAACAACATTACTTAATGTATCATTGTGATTTTGCTATACTGAGGTTGAGCATCTTTTCATATGCTTTGTGGGAATTTGTGTAGTTTTGAATTTGTTAAGTTTTGTAGAAACGTCTTTTATAATCTTTGAAATATTTTATATTCCAGAATGGAATTACCTTTTTCTTATTTGGTTATTAAGATTGAAATACTCTTGATACTAAACTTTTATCCGTTACATGATTTGCAAATATTTTCTAATTCTGTGAGTCTGATTGTGTCCGTTGAAACATCTAAGATTTTTCCTTGTAATGAAATCTGAGGTTCAATGTATCTTTTTTAAAAAATTTTTATTGTGTGTGTGTGTGTGTGTGTGTGTGTGTGTGTGTACTCTCATATCAGATCTGACTGGTATAGGAGATTGCTCCTCCTTCTCTAGCAGAGCATTGGGTGAATTTGAATTTGTATCTTTTTCCTATATCACTTTTGTTTTTATAATGTATTTAAGAAAATTCTAAGAGCTTTATGAGTTTACTTCATAAATGTAGGCCATAGCCTACTTTCAGTTAATTTTATGAATATGTGTTAAATGTTCTTTTTGCACATGACTATCCAGTTATCCTAGATCTATTTGTTGATAGTTACCAATTTTGAAGTAGAGATAATCACCAGAATCCTTGTTTCTAGAATTTTTTTTTTTCCAATACTGCTACAAATATTTTGTTGAAATGTTCTCAGCTCTTCAGCATGCTGGCAAACACATGGAAGACTGCATTGTGGCCTCATACACAGCACTGCTGCTTGGCTGTCTCTGCCAGGAGAGTCCAGTAAGTAAATATTTCCCTGAAGATTCTGAAGTAACTGCCTTATACTGTTGCCTAATGTACTTACCATTTAGGTTTTTTTCTATTTATGCCCTCTTTTAGAAAATCTTTTGATTGAGTGATTTCTTTTAATTCACAATAGAAGGGAAAGAGTACATTGTTCAAAGGTGCTTTGGTGGTATGGCCCATAGCTTGTTGCACTTGCTGACCAGAAGTGTGCATTTTTATCATTTTGTTTTCAGTAGAACTTAAGCACTTTTCAGGGTCGAATTATATTTGATAGAAAAATGTTATTGTGAAAGGTTAATCATTCAGGGAACTTCTGATGTCCTAGGAAAAGAATATTTACATGCATAAAATTAAGATAACATTAAAACTTAGATTATTTCTTGAACTTTTTAAGGTACATTCCATGGTATTTTGGATCTGATGAATGGACTAATTCTGATGTGCTTGTTTGGTATTAAAGAAGGCATGCTATAAATCTCACCTTGTTGGTCTAAACAATATGGAAAAGTCTGTTGTTGTTATTGTTGTTGTTGTTATGATGTGCCGTCAAGTTGCTTGCGACTCATAGCGACCCTATGTACAACAGCCCTAAACTCTGCTCTTTCTTCTGCCAGTCGCACCGTCTCTGACACACCCATCCCGATTACCCCAATCATTGAATCAGTCCACCTCATAGGGGGCCTTCCCCTTCTGCGCTGTCCTTCCACCCTACCAAGAATGATGTCCCTCTCTAAGGACCTGTCCCTCCTTGCAACATGTCCAGAGTATGTTAGACGGAGCCTCAGAATCCTTGCCTCCAAGGAGCAGTCCGGTTTGACCCTTTCCAGGATAAATCTGTTTGTTTTCCTAGCAGTCCATGGTACCTTCAGTACTCTTCTCCAGCACCAAAGCTCCTTCTATCCTCCTTAGTCATTGTCCAACCCTCTGATGCATAACAAGTGATAGCAAAGACCATGGCCTGTATCAGACGCACCTTAGTCTCCAGAGGGACACCACTGCTCTTCAGTACTTTGGAGAGGTCCCTAAGAGCAGACTTTCCCATGGCAATACGTCTTTTCATTTCCTGGCTGCTGGTGCCTAGAGTGTTGACTGTGGAGCCAAGCAAACTGAAGCTGTGAACAATCTCAATCTCTTCACCATCCATCCTGATGCCGCCAGTTGGCCCAGTGGTGAGAATCTTTGTCTTCTTGACATTGAGCCTCAATCCATATTGGAGGCTGCAGTCCTTAACCCTCTACATCAAGCCCTTCAGGTTCTCCTCAGTTTCAGCAAGCAGGGTTGTATCATCTGCATATCGCAGATTGTTGATAGATCTTCTACCAGTCTTGACCCCACATTTCTCCTCTTACAACCCAGCCTTCCAGATAATCTGTACTGCATACAGGTTGAAAAGGTATGGAGATAGGACACATCTCTGGCTTATGCCCTTCCCAATGTTAAACCATGCAGTGTTTCCTTGCTCTATTTTGACGACTGTCTCTTGGTCCAAGTATAGGTTTCTTATAAGCACTATCAAGTGTTCTGGGATTCCCGTTCTTCTCAGAGTCTGCCTCAGTTTGTTATGATCCACACAGTCAAACGCCTTTGCATAGTCAATGAAACATCCATAATGGAAAAGTCTAGTTGGGATTAATTCTCTATCTCAATTATGTCATCAAGGACTAAGATAATTTCTCTTAACAGGCCTGCTTTCTTAGGTTATCTTACCTTTGCCAGCTCTCCTTGTGGTCCCATGCTGGTTATAACTAGGTGTCTCATTTAGTTAAATAATGTACCTTCAAGAAGTTAGAATATCTAAGGCAGTCTCAATTATTCAGCACATAGTGGATGGTTATGATTATTAGAACAGTTTTTCCATGTATAAAACAAAGGGCGAGGTAAAGCACTGCCTTAAGGGAGGTAATTTTGAGTTTTTCCTTTAAAATACAGTACACTGGTAATGTCTTTTTAAGAGCGAGCCTGCTGGGAGACACTGGATGATACAAAGGGTTAATGTATTTGGCTCCATGAAGTTGAAGCTTTGCATCCACTGTGGCATGTCAGAGGGAAGCTGCTGCACTGTTTATGAGAAATCATCACTAGAAACTCTGGAACACATAGTTCTAATTTGACATGTGATTGAGTCCCATGAGTTGGAGTTATTTCAGCAAGGTGTTGCCACTGCTAAGCCAAATTTTAAAATGGAAGATTATTCACAAGACCATAAAATTCTTGTGGCTTTGTGCCATGGAATCATTTCAGCTGTTGATCATACAGAACAGAGTAAAGTCTTACATAAAGTTTCACAAACAGAGACACAAATCACCCAATTTTTTCTTCTATGGGACCACCAGTGCATTAGAATCCTCCACCTTTCTCCTAGCATTCTAGCACTTCGCCACTGTGCCTTCAGAACTCCTTGGAATAGACGGTTAGATTTAGTGAGGGAAAAGGTCCCTTTCTTCTTTACCCCTGTCCTCATGCAAGTTGTTCAGTGATACTGATTACTATATATAGTGGTTGAACAGTATCATTTCCATTAATCTAGTTTCCCTGCACCCTTAAATCCTTATCTCTTAAAACCTTGTTATCCAAAAATATACTGGCCAAATAAAATTAAAGTTAAAAAAGTAAGGAAGAGTTTAATTTGTAGTCTCTCCTTCCCTGCCACACCATCAGCAAAAGTTACATATGAAGCCTTTCTCTCCTCATTTAGGTCCCCAAAATCAGGACCGTGTATCTTCTTTTGTTCTAATAGATAAACTTTTGAGAGAAGCTGTTCCTTTTACTTTTTGAACATTTGAAATAATTTCAGTAATTTTCCAAGAACATTGCATGGGGTTTTTTTTAATTATTAAATTTTATTAATTTTAATGAACATTTACAGAGATTTGCGGTTTTCATTCATTCATTGTTGCACTATTTTCTCTACCCTCCTACCCAGTTCATTCCTCATTTTTTTTCCCTCCATGAAAGTCTGTTTTAATTGTGCAATTGCCACAGTGCTTGTCAAAGCCAGTTCTGATTAATCTCTTTTTCAGTGTGTCCTTTCCCATTCCCTATCACTCCACCCTGAGAGAGACTTCACCCTGATTCATAAGGAAAAGGGGATGGCGTATTCTCTTAGCTACTTCCTGCTGAAAAGGGATGCTGTAGGTTTCAGGGTGAGGATCTTCTCTCACTACTCTAAAGGGCCCCTTTGGCAGTAGGAAACACATAGACTATTATGGAGATTGACTTTGGAGATTAGATGCACTGTTATCCATTGTGCTTGGCCGTACATCTTCATATCCTTGAAGATGTATCACGGAAGTGTTGCAGCCTAGAAGACACAAATTTAACTAACAACTTAAAAGTACATGAGTCAAAAATTAAAAAGCAATAGTATTCCAAGTTAGAGGCTCTAATAGTGGCACAAAGCAAATTACAGAGGGAAAGTACTTCTTAAAATAAAAGGCCTATTGACTTGCAACTTTTTCTATTATAGCATAAAGGTTAGGAACCACAAGATGTAGAGGCTCAACTATGTCATTTATTGTTCTTAAGTCCTGGAGCAAATTCCATCTACCACTCGGTTGTTTTACAACTCGGAAGCCCGCATGCAAGGCAGAGGTGAAGTAAGGAACTG